CACCCCCCTCTCCACGGTGTTGGATCAGCTGTTTTCAAGCGGTCCCTCTTCGTTGGTGTAATAAATATGATTCTTTCATACCTATTCTTTGGGTTTCTTTGACACTCCAGTGCTTCGGCTAAAATGAAGGTGCTGTGAATGAAATGAATGGAGCCCGTCATAGAAAGTGTCATGAGCACAGATCTGTCAATCCGCTACTGATATTTTCGCTTCGTCGGGGTTCCTTTTGACAGAAAAAAATACCAGGGCTCTGAGCAGGGGCTGTGAGACACGCCTTACTACAAAAGGCACGCTCGAAGCGACCTAGCGAAGTCTAGTTCTCTGGGTGCTCCTCCTTCCGAGAACGGTCCGCCTTCAAGGGGTCGCATCAGCTAGCGACCAATTTTGGCTTTTACCAGCTGTTTTTACCAGCACTGTGCTCCTAACTGGTGATGTGTCTCTTCGCTGGGACTCCTTCTAGAAAAGTAATTATGAACAGTGACCGGTTGCCGGAGTTCCAGAAGTTTGAGCAGCGTGCAAAGCCTCCCCCTTCTGCTTAGAGTGACGCGAACCAAATCTAAGGCAGCGTTCAGACATCGCGACGGCAGCGCTTCCGTCGAGCGTTCGACACGACCAATGTGCATGCTTTCGACATCGATTGCGTCGAACGCGCGTGCTGCCGTCGCGAAGTCTGATCGCTGCTTTGGAGGATGCAAGGTTCACTTGATGCAGTAATTGTGTAACAAGAAATAAGACCCTCATAAAGTTAGTAAGAAAATTTATTTGCAGTTCGATCATACGTCATTACTCATTACGAAGACACATAGGTTTTTACGAACGCAATAAAAGCGTGAGATGCTATGAGCAGAATGTCAACATTAGAATCCTTTAGTAGCTTTATAATAATCTTTGGTGAATTCCTCTAAATACGGTTGTACACTATCGTCCAGATATCGTGCTCGGTTCAAATACAGTAACAAGACCTGATGCACATAGAGATACTGGTGTTCCGTCTGGAATTAGACTTCGAGAGTCAATTCTAATCTTTCCCTAGTAACAATATTCAAAGGTTCGTCAGGGGGTTGTAGGTGACAGGCCTGAGGGTTACCCCATGGCAATCACTGTGGTGATCACAAAACTGGTGTATTGTGTCATTGGGAAGGGGACACCTCAGTGGCTTATCGGTTATCTTTTCAATCGGCGGCCCACCACTTGTGTTGGAGGCCACTATGAATTATAGCCCCCCCTCCCCAACTTTCCAGTTCTTCCTGTGATGGAAAAGTTCAAATCACGTCCTTGGTGTGTTTTCTGCCTAGAATTTTAGCCTCGCCCCTGTCATCCTGGCAGGGCTCTTTTTTTTTTTTTTTTTTTTTTTTTTTTTTTTTTTTTTTTTTTTTTTTTTTTTTTTTTTTTTTTTTTTTTTTTTTTTTTTTTTTTTTTTTTTTTTTTTTTTTTTTTTTTTTTTTTTTTTTTTTTTTTTTTTTTTTTTTTTTTTTTTTTTTAGGGTTTCCCAGGAACGAAACTTTTTTTGTTACTTGTTACTATTATTCCGTTGTTTTCGTAACTCAATAAGGTATTCACGTATTTCGAGTAATGGTGCAGGACGATGTAATAATTCCATAGCGTGTTGTAAGAGTACTATTGGCCGGTCCACGATAAGGCAGAACACGGTGAACATTATAGGTCCCTCTAAAATTAGTTCATTGCTCGCTTCTTTTTAACTATTTTGAGCATACTTCTGTACTGACAGTGGTCTTCTTTGAAGGAAGTTTACTGTTAAAATACACGTCCTAGTGACGGAGGCGAGAATGTAACTCTGCTCTTCCTCATTGATTGGCCCATGTATCAGCTCTAGCGGTGGTCTGAAGCGCGTTAAGGATACAGCATTCTGTTTGGTGAAACGCCATGGGAAGTCGTACTCTTTTCGCTGGGGAGGGGTGGCAGGCAGTATTTGGTCTTTGTTGAGGGGTTGTGCTTTGAGAGAGATTAATAAAATCTACTCCGGTTTGTTTTGCTTTTCGAGATTTCGCGACTTCTCCTGTTTCATGTGTACTATATCCCACCCTCGCTCGACGGAGAATGTTTGGATGAAATATTGGGAAATGTGGGAAATTGTGTAGATAGGTGTTGGGGAGTGAGGGGAGTGTACGACCCCTCTTCCAGGGAGGGGGTCCTCGAGGACTCTTCGGAGGTTCGTATGGCCACCATTTCATGCTACAGCTGTACACTAGATTTTGTTCATACTATGCCGGCTTGGTGCTTTGCGAGCGAACAGGAAAGTATATGTATAGATCAGCGCCAAAGACGCCGATTTTCCCAAACGCCAATTCTCCCAGCTCGCTGATTCTCCCAAAACGCCAGATCGATACCGACACTTTGCTTTCCGCTCACTATGCCTGATTCGCCCAAAAGCTGATTCTAGCAGAACACCAAACCTCCTCGCGGGTGGCGTACGCATTGCCAGTGACTTTTTCTCACTTCATTCACTAGTGTGTCATTCCTTTTCACTGTCTCTAAACTACAGTCACAATCCCTGCAAACGACAAGGCGCGTAAGTGGGCGTGGCTTGGAACGCGGCCAGGACAGATTTCAACTTTAGCAGGCTCAGGAACATCCCACCGGTTGGAACAAGGCAGTCGTGGCCGAGGACCAAAAATGGTGTTCTAGGAGTCTCGTGTGACCTGCAGTTCTGTGCGGGTTCATGTCTTTTTAAAATATTCAATAATCTTACGCGCTATTTTTAAGTTTTGACAGCAGTGCTATTGGTGTGAGATCGGCTTCTGGTACACCACGATCTGGCCAATCCAACCAGTGATAGTGAATGCATGAATGGACTGGACATGAAGGACCGTACACGTCCAGAAACGTCATCCGTACCTGCACCTTGGTTTCAATGGGAAATTGAAACTGAAAAAGGAACTCGTTGGGAAACACAACTCAAACGTGTAGTTGAAAAATCAATAATTTTCGTACATAGTCTTGTTTTTTGCAAACAACACGTACTCCATCAAAGTCAAGACATCCACCGGGATCTGTCGGGAAATATTCGGCGCATTTCTTCACGTTCTGAAGACTTTGGGTTTTTTTCTTGTGTAATCGCTAACACTTGGATGAATTTGCTCAAAATTGTAGCAGACTTTGAGGTACCCACCAGCACGGTACCGTCGTGAGAATCCCACCAGGGTGTCATACTTTGTCGCTGTAAGGGGGAGGGGGCGTGTGCGGTCAATAGGGGGCGCAGCTGGTTTCAACAGAAATTTTTTTGAGCCGCGAAAGAGATTTTTAGGTAGTATACCTTCCTCCCCCAGCCGACGACGCCGTCACATCCCCATACAATTGTTATTCCGATCCCTCTGCTCCACAACGGGCCTCTGAGGAAAACCGGAGAATTTTTTAGAAAACAGGAAAGAGTGGTAGGAAGTTGAGAAACTAGGAAGATGAAAGTAATATGAGGGAATGGAGTCGTACCGGGGAAAGAATTCGGTGGGGGGGAGAGTGGGAGCGACTAACAGCGCTTTTTCTCTCATCTCGATGCTGTGTACCTCATGCACCATACTAGCTAATAATCGCTTAGCTGAAAGCTGT